GCACCGGCTCCGGGGGGCGGCATCATGAGCGGTGAGTGGCGGCCCCGCCGCTGTCACCCGGCTCCGGCCGCTGCACTTGCACGCTCGGGGTCTCCCGGGCGTCCGGCCGGGCCCGCCGACCCCTGCCCCTTCGCCCTCTGACCCCTGACCTCGAGCACGCATCCATCCGCCAGGGTCCAGTCTGTGCTCTCCCGCGTCCCTGGCGCCCCCTGCAGCTCCCCGACGCCGCCTCCGCCCCTCCCAGCCCGCGACCCCCGGCCCAGTTCGGAGGGCCGCGAGGTCGCGCCCTCCTCATCCCAGACCCTCCCGGCCCCACCCCGCCGTCCGCGCCCGGCCCTCGTCCCGCAGCCTCCCGCCTGCCCCCAGCCCGGGCGCGCCCCGGCCGCGCTGAGTTTGCTGACCCCAGGACCTTTGTCAGCGAACCCGAGCAGCTGCAGCCCTGGTCCCGAGATGCCTTCTCGCCTCCCCAGCCGCCCAGGCTTCGGGGTCCCTCTCATTTCCTCCACCCCGTGCCCAGTGCTGGGCCGAGCACCGGCTGGTTCTTCCCACAACCCTGGCGGCGTCCCGTCCCCCTCGCTCCTTTTAATCGGCTCCAGTCCCTTCCGTGTCTCCTGCGAGATCTCCTCGGAGATCTTTCTGGACTGTCCTGCAGCTCTGCCCTTCTTGCCCCATGCCGAGGCCGTTCTGCACCGGGACTGTCACTTTGCCCTTGCCAGTCCTGCCAGCCAGGGGGGTGGGCTTGGCGGAGAGTGAGGGGGGCGGGTGTGTGCACAGCCTGTCCTCAGTGTTTCTTAACTTTAGCCCTTTCCCTCCAGCCCTCCTTGCCTCCCTCTGAAGAGTCCTGGGGGGTGTTTGGATGCTCAGTCATCCCTGGGTGTTGGGTGTGGGGATGGGTGTGACTCAGGCGGTCTCCTTGCTGGCCCCTGACTTTTTTCCCCGGCCACTCTGGGATCTGGATCCACTTAGGAACACTCCGCCTACCCTCCTGGAGCCTGTTTTTCTCTCCCTGTGCAATTGCTTCTTTGCAGTCTTCCCTTCCAGCCCCCTTCCAACCCAAAGGTCTTCAACCCCTCCCATCCAGGCAGTTTTGGACGCAGTGGCAAGGCAAAGGAATCTATTCCTTTGCATTTTTAACTTGTACATTATTTCTGTAGATCTTTAAAAAATAAATTATATGCTTTTTTTTTTTTTGCCAGTCCTGGGGCTTGAACTCAGGGCCTGGGCACTGAGCTTCTTTTGCTCAAGGCTAGCACTCTACTACTTGAGTCACAGCTGTACTTCTGGCTTTTTCTGTTTATCTATAATAGAAATCAGGGCTTTGTGCATGCTAGGCACTCTACCACGGAGCCACATTCCCAGCCCTAAACTGTATGCTTTTTGTCTTTTGCTTTGTGTGTGTGTGTGTGTGCATACACACATGTTTCCCACTACTGGGGCTTGAACTCAGGGCCTAAGCACTGTCCTGAGCCTTTTCAGCTCAAGGCTGGTGCTCTACCACTTGAGACACAGCACCACTTCTGACCCTTTGGTAGTTAATTGGAGATAAGGGTCTCATAGACTTTTCTGCCTGAGCTGGCTTTGTACCATGATCTTCAAATCTCAGTCTCCTGAGTTGGGAGGGTTATGGATGTAAGCCAGGGAGGTACCTGGCTCATACATTTTGCTGTTTAAGAGCAAGGTTTGTGAAATTATTGGGTCTCAATGAAATGCCTGATGGAAGGGTGTTTCCTGGGAGATAGCATACCTTTTGGTACCAAAGCAATTGATTGGCCTTTCATGAAGATTTCTGGGTCATTGAGTATTGGTGACAACACAGCAAAGGTAGGAGTGGTGTCTATCAGGTGATATAACTTGGCATAAATGCAGATCCTAGAGTTAAGGATCCTGGGTTCAAATCCTGACCCTGATACTTCAAGTTGTGTGTTTTAGTTAAGTTACTTGACCATGCTGAAAGTAGTATACACAACAGTATTTGTCTCCTAGGCGATTCTGATGGCTGTTGTGCATCTCCCATGGTTCATTGACTGGAACTTAGAGCTCTTTCCATCAAGACCACTGGGGTTGGGAATGGGCTTGGGGTTGTTCTTTGGCCGAGTTTTGACACAGGGCATATAACTAGGCCCTTTGTTAAAACCTGAAAATTATTGTAGTGCTTGTGGTATATCCAGGGTCTCAGTTCCACTGTGTTCCACCTCTGAGTATCACCTTCAGTCCCAGCCTCTCCTCACCCCTCAGTTGTCTGGCTTGAACTCAGGGTCTGGTTCTGTTCCTGAGCTTTTTTGCTCAAGGCTAGTGCTTTAACATTTTGAGCCACAGCTCCACTTCCAGTTTTTGTGGAGTTAACTGGAGATGAGTCTCACAGGGCACTTTTCTGCCCTGGTTGGCTTCAAACATGATCTTCAGATCCCAGCCTCTTGAGTAGCCAGAATTATAGGTGTGAACCACCAGTGCCGGGCTTTAGCCTCTCCTTTTCATGTGGCCAGGGTGTCTCTGTCACCAGCTCTGCCAATCTAATCTCTGGACCAGAAACAACTTCTGCCTTCATCAGAGGAGGGAATGATGTAGAGAAGCCAAAGGAAATTGATCAGTTGATCTTTCAAGGAGCCACTTAGTATCAAAAAGTTTTAAATTGCAATTAAAAAACCTATTAGTTTTAAAGCTAAACAAATGATAAAAGATGGCAAACTAATTATGTTTTAGGAAAAAGCATTTAGGGTGAACCACTTGCTTTTGGAAAGATTGCCTTTGAGGCAGAAATGGTCCCTGAGTAACCTGGAGAGAAAAAAGAACTTTTTTTATTTTTTCCATCAGTGCCAAGGCTCAAACCCAGGACTGTGTACATGCTAGACAGTGCTTTGGTACTAGGTACTGTGATTCTCCCCAGCCCAAGGATATACTCTCCCCAGTTCAAAGTGGGATTGATTGATCATCGGAATACAGTAAAATAACATGTCAGGGAAACAGTCCTCTCTTTCTTTTGTCCCCCCTTTTTTTTTGAATAGCAAAAACATTAAATATCACAAAAATAGAAGGAATGATATAAGAAGCTCCTATTTATAATGACCTGGCTCTGCTCCGTGCTGTGTAACACCCCCATCCCCCCAGGTTACTTTGAAGCAATTCCAGGTATCATTATTTCACGTAGAAATGTTTTAACATGTATATATAGACATCTATCTATCAATAGGTATATATCTGTAGGCAGATATCTATATCTACATAATACATAACATATATGAA